GGCTCCCAAGTCCTTGTCCTGCAGCCCTGATCCACAGAAGTGGCCCTGCTCCTGTGGTGATTTATTACAACCTTTGGAACCCATGCATGTTGTCTCTCTCCTTCCTCGAGGGGCATAAGAGCCTGGGTGTAGTAGTCATGGTGGGAAGATGCCGAAACATACCGCCGTGGCTGAGTAGAGTCTGTGTCCGTACGGTGCCGAAGCCTTGACCTCCAGGCAGAGATGTGCTTGGTGACCTTGGACAGAGCACACTGAAATCTTTCTCCAATGTCCTCTGCTCCCAAGGATCCAAGTGTGGTCTCTAGAGTCCCCGTGCCAGCAAGAGGAGCACAGGACAGCTGCGCTCTGTCCGTGACCTCCCGTGGAAGAGATGACTAATGAAGGCAATGGTTCGTGCAGCTCTGTGGAAAAAGGCGCCCATCATCTTAATGGTACCTTGGAGCCCTTGGGCTGACCGCGTGGCCATTTCCTGATGCTCACCCCGCCCACGATCCCTCCATGGGAGCTATTCCTGGCATGTCCTGTGGTACAAAAGTGCAGTTCATCTTTTCAAGGAGACACGGGAGGTTGAAAGTCAAAGCCATCGGAACAAACCTTGGCTTTGGAGAGGAGTCAAGTGCTTGTTATGCAAGTATCTGCTGTCTCCCTCAGAAGAGGCAGAGCTGAGTCCAAGCAGAGTTGGGGGACTTGGGGATAAGGAAGGGAAAGGTTTGAGATCGATGTGGTACACGCTGTCTCTGGGGAGAGCTATGGCTTGGGGGTCAGCCTAGGCCATGGGGCAGCTCTGTCTCCAGCCAGCTATACCTAGGACAGCCCAGGTGTCAGAGGACAACTTGGCGCCCCACCGTCCTGTGAAGATTGGGGGAGAGGCTGGTGAAGATGGCTGAGCCAGGAGAGTGCTTGCCACACAAGCACGAGAGCATGAATGTCGTTTGCAGAACCCGGGTGAAGAGGCCGGGGGGGGGGGGGGCGCGGGGGTAGTGGCAGGTACTCTGTAATCTCAGCACTGATGACGTAAGACCGGCGGGGCCCACTGGCCAGCTGAATCAGTGATTTCCACAAAAAAAGTAGAGAGCCCTTGTCAGTAAGTAAACAAGATTGAGGGGTGGCAAGATGGCCCAGTGGGTAAAGGCCCCTGCAAGTGCAAGTGTGAGGACCTGAGTTTGACCCACAGAACCCAAGTTAAGAGTCAGTTGCGGAGCCGGGTGGTGGTGGCGCATGCCTTTAATCCCAGTACTCGGGAGGCAGAGGCAGGCAGATCTCTTTGAGTTCAGGGGCAAGCCTGGTCTACAGAGCAAGATCCAGGAAAGGCACCAAAGCTACACAGCAAAACCCTGTCTTGAAAAACAAAAAACAAAACCAAAACAAAAAAGTCAGATGCGGTGTCACACATCTGAAGTCTAAACACTCCCAAGGTGAGAAGAGAGAGGGAGGTGGAGGCAGGAGATTGATCCTGAAGATCATGGATGGGCTAGTTTGGGGTACACAGCATGGAGGAAACAACTAGAAAGACCCTGTCTCAAGGTGGAAGGAGAGACCCGATTCTCAAAGCTGTTCTCTGACGTGTGTCTTGATACATACACACACAATAATAATAATAATAAAAAAAAAAACTTAAAAAAAAAAACAAGGTGTAGAGTGACTGAGAAAGACACATGATGTTGAACCTTGACCTCTAAACACACACACAGAAGCACGCACACAGGTACACACACAGGTAGAGAGACAGCCTCAGGAAGAGCTGAGGTTTCTTGGCTCTGGAAGCAGCAGGTCTGTCCTCTCCTCCAGGCCGGTGGCTGCCATCTTCCCGTACACGTTAGAGGATGCCGCCACCGCTGCCGCCGCCTGATGACAGGGTTAGCCAGGGTGGGTGGAACCCCTGCTCTGACTTGCCTGAGAGTCGAACCTCTCCCTACCTCAGAGCTTCATCAAGACAAGGGGGCCTCGGGAAGCTTGCTTCCTCCAACTAAGCTGGGCAGCAAGCAGAATCGGGGCTGCCAATCCTGAGAGTAATGACTCCCCACAGAAAAGATGTTGAGTCCTCTCAAAATAGCTCTCTGGACTGGGACTCTCGGTGCCCTCTGGTGAATGGGGGATGTGGAATGTCGTGCTGGGCCCCCAGGGCCTCTTCCACCCACTGAAAAACAGGGTCTGTAGAGTGTCCAGCCTTCGAGTTGCTGTGGGCATAAACCCTGGGGGCCAGGAGAATTTTGATGAAGCATGTTTGGTTTGTAATCCTGGGAGGCTGGACGTTGAGGGCCTCTTTCATTTCCCAGGGACAAATAGGAGGGGCCAGGAGGTGAGTTGGTAGAGTACTTGCTCTGCATTCAAGGGGCCCTGGTTCCATTCTTTACATGACATAAACAGAGGCATGGCTGACCCTGTCATCCCAGAGCTAGGATAAGAGTGCAAGGTCATTCTTGGTTGTACGTCCCAAGGTCGGCTGCAGGAGCCTGTGGCAGAAGGAAATCTGGATGGCTTCCAACCTTCTCAAGAAGTAGCCGCTGAGTTTTGGCTTCTTTTCCATAGTAGAGTTCCAACGATGACCAAGAGGACAGAAGTCCTTATCTGAGATTAAAAACATGGCAGTTTACACTGAGACCTCTAAATGGCCAAAGCGAGGGGATCAGGTTATCTGTGGGGTGCTCGGTCATAAGTAGGACATCTGTATCACACCCCCCGACCCCTGCCAAGGCTCAGGGACCACCGTGGAAGAGTGGACAGAAAGGCTGTAAGAGCCAGAGGCCACCAGGGAGGACTTGGGTGAAAGAGCATCTTCTGGACATGGCAGGATAGCTGTTCTCACGAGCTCACTCACAGAAGCTACCGCGGCTGCACCAGGACAAGCCAGGCAGCATCACAGTCTGCACAGATGGGCGCGTGCACCCCAGAGTCCTCACTCCTGGCTGAGGAGCTATGGACAGTTGATGGCAGCTGGGGGAGGCAGAGTCAGCTGTTGTTTAGGGGTGGGGTCCCTGGCAGACTGCCCACGATCCAGCGATGGCCCCACCCCCAGGCACATGTAGGCGGCACTCGCTGGACTCAGTAAGCCACTGTTTTTTTTAAAGGACATGAAGTTGGGAAGGGAATGTATGTGTGGGATCCATGAGGAGTCAGATGGGGAAGAGGAGAATATGATTAAAATATACTGTATACACGCATGAAACCCTCAAAGATAAATAAAACATATTAAAAGACCCCAATCACTGCTCAGGCCTATAGGCCATTGGCACTGAAGTTGCAGCCCTCTCGCAAACCCAGCGGCTTACAGCAGCTTTTCAGTATTGTTCTTTTGTGAGTCATCTTAGGTTTCTGCTGCTGTAAGAAAACAGGACCAAAAGCAGCTGGGGGAGGAAAGGGTTTATTTCAGCGCACACTTCCATGTCACCACCCATCATCACAGGAAGTCAGGGCAGGAACTCAAAGCAGGAACCGGGAGGCAGGAGCTGATGCAGAGGCTGTGGAGGAGCGCTGCTTACTGGCTTGCTCAGCCTGCTTTCTGACCACCTGCATGGGGATGGGTGTGTGTGGGGGGGTTGGCATTACCCATAATAGGCCCCACCACATCAATAATTAATCAAGAAAATGTACAGACTTGCCCACAGGCCAATCACTGGGAGACATTTTCTCAATGGACAGTGCCTCTTCCCAACGACTCTAGCTTGTTTCAAGTTGTCAAAATGCTAGCTCATTTTCTCTATGCGGTTGGGATTGGCTGGCACTAGAATTCTAATGCTTGGCTACCTGGATTCCCCCTTGTAAGTCCCTTGTGCCTCTGATGGAGTGCCTGAGAGGCTTGGAGACCAGGGAGTAGCTCTTTCTCCATGTCACCTTGGATGGACTTCTTCCATCCACACTGGAATGTTGACTGTCTTGATTTTACACACGTCTTGGGCAGGCACCATGATAGGCGTAGGACTCAACAAGTAGACCTCTCACCTGGGGCCTGGCTTCTTCCAGAGTTTGTGACCCAAAAGACCCTGATAGAAGATGCAAAGTTTTCTGTGACTTAGCTCTGGAAGTCTGAAATGTCACACCCACGTCATTCACTAGTCAAAAGCTGACAAGGTAAGTTGTGCTGGAGGAGAGATGTGAATATGAATTCCTGGAGGCTGAGCTCAAGCAGGACCATTCTTGGAACCCAGTTATCTTCCTCTGGAAGGAGAAGGGTCCATGCCCCAGCCCTGGAGCCCCTGTCAGAAGCTGGATGTGGGGCTTCTGTCCTGGAATCTGTCCAGTTTCCAGAATCAGGTTGCCAGTGGGTAGGGGGAAGCTTGCCTGAAGGTTTGGTTTTGGTTTGTTTGTTTGAGACAGGGCCTCATTGTGTCACCCCGGCGGGCCTCAGACTTCCAGTCCTATTCCCTCAGATTTCCAAGTGCAGGGATTACAGGTGTGTGGCACCATACCGGGTGTAAAGATCTTTTTATGGAAAGCTGGGCAGGGTAGCACACGCTTGTAATCCCTGAGCTGCAGAGGAAGGGTAGGCTGAACTGGAGGCTTTTCCAGCTAGTGCAGGAGCTCAAGATCAGTGGGAGACCTAGTCTCCAAAAAACAAGGTGACTGGGTCCTGAGGAAAACACTAAAGGTTGCTTCTGGCCTTCATACGTATTCTGCACCACCACCCCCAATACACCTCCCCTTCCACATACATGCTCTGACAGTCAACTTGACCCAACCTAGAATCACCGGGAAGAGAGTCACAATGAGGGGCCATCTAGATCAGGCTGGCCTGTGGGCGTGTTTGTGGGGGACCCTGCTGATTACACTGACTGAGGTGGGAAGACCCCATCCACTGTGGGAGCCACCATCCCCCAGGCAAGATATCTTTAACCATTTAGGAGTGAAAAAAGTGAGCCGAGTGCAAGCATGCATTCCTTCCTTTCTGCTTCTGCCCATTTGTGATGTGACTGGCCGCTCTGTTACACGGATGCTCCCACCATTATGATTGTAACCTGGAATTACAAACCAAATAAACTTTGTCCTAGCAACGGGAAACAAAACACTCTCTCTCTCTCTCTCTCTCTCTCTCTCTCTCTCTCTCTCTCTCTCTCTCTTTCTCTCTCTTATGCAGGCAGCACGCACGCACGCACACACGCACACAGATCTTTTATGGAGCATGAAAGACAGGGGTTAGGACGGCATTACCACCTAAAGACGGCAGACACAAATCCCCCTGCCTCACCTTTGGGCCAATCTTCCTAACATGCCGCGTTCCGCGCAAGCCTGCTTTCCTACCCCAGCCGAGACAATCGCAGCTCCCTTCCCATTTCTGACAACTGCACCATAGGCGTCCAAAAGCAGAAAGTCAGGCCACAGGTGAGCAGGCCTTGGTCCTGTCTTCCATGCAGAACCTGTGCCTGGAGACTTCTGGCTTCCTGGAATTGTCTATACTCAGACTCTCAACAGTATGCTCCAGACACGCTTCTCCTCCTCCTCTTCTTCTTCCTCCTCTTTACATGTGGGTGCACGTGGATGTAACCATCCATGTGGGGTCCAGAGGACAATCGCAGGTGCCTTCCCTTGGGAGTCACCCAGCTTGTTTTTTTAGACAGCATCTCTCAAGAAACCTGAACTTGAAGTTCGCTGACTAAGGTAGGCTGGCTGGCCAGCAGGCCTCAGGGTTACCCAGGCCCTGCCTTCCCAGTTCTGGGGTTACAATCATGCATCACCGTGTTCAGTGTGTGTGTGTGTGTGTGTGTGTGTGTGCGTACATGCACGTAGGCATGTATGTATATTTGTGTGGTGGGGCAGGGAACATGCCACTGTTCATGTGTGGAGGTTGGAGGACATCCTGTTGGACTCAGTTTTTTTTTTCCCCACCATGTTGGGTCCCGTGGATCAAACTCGGGTTGTCAGGCTTGGTGGCAAGCACCTTTACCCACGAAGCCATCGTTCCAGCCTCCACCTCACTTTTTGAGCCAGGGTGCCTCACTGCCCTGGAGGTCTCTGATGGACTAGACTGTTTGGCCGGAGCACTGGGCGCCCCGCCTACCTGCCTAGCCTTTTTATTTTTATTTTTTTGGCCTTGGTGTCAGGGATGGACTCGGTGCTTGGCAGGCAGGCACTTTACTGACTGAGCTCTCTCCCCAGCCCCAGACACCATGCTTCTTTCTAGTCCCGTGAAGGGCCAGCTGGACCCAAATGCCTTCCTTTGCCCTTGCTGCCCCGCTGTCCCGGGCTTTCAGGGACTCTCCCAGACAGCCAAGCACAGCCATCACTTGGCAAAGCAGCTTCCAGGGAACTGTTAGCTGTCTCAGCAGCCTCTCTGTGACCATCACCCGGGTGGCCCCCTCTGCTTGTCGAGGCCTGGGGCCCCTTTCACCCGGGAGCTGGTCTTGCATGGGCGAGAAGCCTGGGTGGGCCAAGAACTCCAGAGAGCTGTCCTCTGTGTGAGTGTGGCGGCTGATGCCAGGAAGAGGCTGTGCCCATTTGGTTACACTAAAGGGAGACCCCAAGTTGGGACCCCTGACCACGTGTCCAGTGAGCCCTCCCTCCTACGAGCAGAGGGAGAATGTTCTGGAAGGACAGCTGAAGGGAGCAGATGAGCAGCAGAGAGAGGGTGGCAGTGAGGGAGAGCCCCCCCTGCCCCCCCCCCGCCCGCCCGCCCCTGTGAAAGCTGCTGACACTTTATCCCAGGAAAGGACCCCAGGGAGTCCTTGAACCCGATGTCACTTTTGCCGTGCACAGGGAGAGGCGCGGGCGAGCGTGTGCGAGGAAAGAAAAATGCCTACAGCACAGTTAGGCTCTGTTAATATTTGATAGGCAGCCAAAGCACTTGGGTTCCTCAGCTCGGCGAGCTACCCATGAAAAAAAGAAATTGCTTTTCAAGAACATTCATCACCGTGAGCAGCTCATTTCCCTGTCCTCAGAAAACCCTATCCTAGGCCCTCCCTCCCCTCAAAAACTCCTCAGACGTGGTCAAGTAAAGGAAGCCAGGGAGGGTGGGGGTGGGGGGAGCACCTCAGGGAGGGCGGGAGCTGGAGGAGTTGCCAGGCAGAGTGTTCTAGAATGCTCTGGAACGCTCTAGAAATTCTCAAACGTCCTAGAAGATTCTTGAACATTCTCTGTTCTTGTAATGGGGCCCCGCCTGGATTCTCTTCCCTGAACGGCAGGTCTTGGGGGTGTGATCTTTAGGGATGACTACGACACTCAAGAGCAGATGCTCTCACCCTTGTGAGCCTGTCTGTCCAGCACCCCAGTTCTTCAACCCCTTGCAGGGCATCTTCCCCGACCCGCCGTGCCCTGGCACCCTGGCTTCTCTTCCCCCTGGATTTTCCGTGTACTCAGGATAAGGATAGTGCCTTGTTCACTGGGCTCCTTCAGCTCACAGTCGTGTGATGAAGGAACAATAAGTCAGTCTCGAATGTGATACTTACGGCCCAGGGTACCACTAACTCTCCAATCCAGGATGCTCTGTTTCTGAAATTCATTCTTTCATTTTCCCACCCTCCCCTTCTCCCTTCAGCATCTAATTCCCTGCCTAGTCATCTGGCAGAGAAGACTTCCATGTCAAGGCCTGTTGTGCTACGAGACCTGTGGGAAGGGGTCAGCTAGCAAGTTTGAGGGGAATCTCATTCAGGAGCAGGCCAGAGCTTGGGCTTCATGTGTAACCTTCAGAAGACCACGTTACCACCCCTGGCCTCTGAAGTCCTTTCAAACCAGTTCAGTCACATCACAGCCCTTCAGTAGATGTGGGGACATGCCCACTGCAGGAGACTAGCAACTCAGTAGATAATGACCAGTTTTTACTTCATCGATTAATTAATGTGCGCACATGAGAGTGTGTGTGTGTGTGTGTGTGTGTGTGTGTGTGTGCGCGCGCAGCCTGGCTCACATGTGAGCCTCTCACTGGTTCTTGTCTCTGTCTCCCATCTTGTCACTGGACTGCTGGGATCACAGACACGCTCCACTGTTCTCCATCCTCCTGTTTAAACATGGTTCCTAGGACCAGACTCCGCTGGTCAGGCTCATACAGGAAAGGCTTTGTTTGACCCACAGCTCACCGTGTGAACTCCTGATCCCCTGCCTTTACCTCAGGAGTGGGGATCGCCGGTGTGCACCACCACACCAGATTTTTGCAGTGCTGGGGTGGAAGCCAGTGTGTACGCTAGACAATCATTCCACAAACTGAGGCATGTCCCGGCCCAAACCCACTTTTATTATGATTTGACAAGCATGCATCTTCTCAACCCAGTGATGTGTTAATACAGTATTTACCAACTCTGAGCACCTAGAAAGTTCCTCAGGCCTATTGATGTTGGCAGGAGCTGCCCTCTTAGTTGAAAGAGAACCAAACTCAAAGATGTGTGGATGGCACCACCCTACAGTCTGACGTCGGATGGAAAGATGGCCCAGTGCCCCCAGGGCAGATGCTGGGTTCCATTCAGAGATTGGAGGACCCTGGACTATTGATGATACTCACCAGTTAGCAACAAGAATGATCTGGGGAGACTGGTGTGGTGGTGCACGCCTTCAATCCCAGAACTCAGGAGGCAGAGGCAGGCAGATCTCTGAGTTCGAGGCTAGCTTGGACTACAGAGTGAGTTCCAGGACAGCCAGGACTACACAGAGAAATCATGAAAAAGGAGGAGAAGGAGGAGAAGGAGGAGGAGGAGAGGAGAAAAGAAGAAGAAGAAGAAGAAGAAGAAGAAGAAGAAGAAGAAGAAGAAGAAGAAGAAGAAGAAGAAGAATGGTCCAGGGCATTTAATGCTAGATTTGTGTGTATGTGAATGTGTGCACAGGTGCATGTGTATGTGACTGTCTGTGCAGGCCTTGGATGCAGCTCCTTGGACACTGTTCACTTTTTTTTTTTTTTAAAGGAAAGGTCTCTCATTGCAGTGTACTGGAACTCACTAGGTAGACTAGGCTGGCTGCTGGCTCGTGAGCCCCAGGGGTCCACCTGTCCCTGCCTGTCTCCGCCTCCCTGGCACTGGGACTATAAGCACAAGCCTCCACATCCAGCTTTTGAACTAGAGTTCTGGGGATCGAACTTGGGTCTTCAGGCTTATGTGGCAAGTATTTTATCAAGTGAGCCATCTCTCTCATCCCATAATATCATATTTTTTATTGACTGATAGACTCATTCAGCATGTATTTATTGAGTGTCTACTTTGCGCCTTGAGATGCACTGTGCCCAGGGTACCTTGTCCCCTCCCTGCTGAGGTGACATGTGGTCAGGCAGTAGCCCCGCACATAAATTAATAATTGTGTACTAAGCTAATTTCCCAAAGAGACTGGTGGGAGGGAGCTAGAAAATTTGGGGTGGTGGGCCTGTGGCTCTAGGGCACCCCTGAGGCTTTGGAAGGGGTTCTGGAGTCACAAACAGATGCAAGGGTATAACCAAGGGGTGGGTGGGAAGGCCGGAACCCGAGAAGGCTGGGATCCCTCTTGCCAGCATCAATTGACTTTGCCACAGCCTGGTGAGCGAGGTATCCTGGCTCCTTCTCAGAGGCTCTTTGGGGTTCCCTGGGCAGTCCACACAACTGTGTGGTCTGGGTTTGACAGATCTACACCACGACATATCTACACCACGACATATCTACACCACGTAGTCTTTCTTAGTACTTCTCAGGCCCTGCTGAGAACAGACTAAATTTCCCCCGGCTCCTCCGGGATGGGAAGAGAGGCAGCGGCTGGCCTGGCCCGAGGCTGGTGTAGGGGCCAGGCTGGGGCTGGAGCTGGGGTGCCCTCAGCGGTCAGGCTGAGGCCCTCCCTGGCCACGCCTCTCCCATTGGCTCCGCCTTCCTCCCGTGCTCTCATTGGCTCACGTTGACGTGTCTCTCAGAGTCTGACGGCGCCATCTGTCGTCCGGCAGACGGGGAGCAGCGGCAAAGGAGACTCAGTGGGCCGAACACCTGACGGGAGGTACCAGTGGATGCTCGGACCTCTCACGCACCCCAGACTTCCGGTTATTTCCTCATATCCAAAGGGAACCCTGCAACGCGGATGTCACACCCTCCAGTTACAGATAAGAAAAGTTACAGGTGAAAATTTAAAGGGCTCGCAGTAGAAGCGGCATGTGAGTCTTTCTCAGTGCTGCATCATTGGGGCAACACCCTGAGGATTGTGGGAAAATCTCAGGGATTAGATGGATGTCAGCAGTCACCCTCTCCGGAGGAACAGCAGCTCAGGCAGATCAGGGAGGAGTTCAGGTGTGATGGCCGATAGGGATCGTCAACTCAATAGGATCTAGAATCCCTAGGAAACAAGTCTCTGGGCACATCTGTGAGGGAGTTTCTAGATTAGGTTAATTAAGGTGGGAGTCTCACCTGACGTGGGCAGCCCCATCCCATGGGTCCTGGACTGAAGGAGAAAGCTGTCAGAGAACCAGCCTTCACGTCCTTTTATTTCCTGATGTGGATGCAGTGTTCCAGCTACATCATGATCCTGCTGCCCTGCCTTCCCCAGCGTGATGGACTGTGCCCTCGAACCGTGAGCCAAGTCCACCCCCAGCTGTCATTTACTAGGCATGATACCACAGCAAGGAGAAAAATAGCTGATGCGCCACGGAGCTCTCCTGCTCTTTGAAGTTGAATGGAATCTGGAAGGCCACAGGAACAAAACCTAACCAGGACGGCCTCTACCATGAGGTC